CGTCCGTATGGAGACTACTCCTACGAAATCGTTAGGAACATCGTGAGAATTGATTCTATTTGTCAGACAGTACTCCTACGTTACGTTTCTTAAAAAAAGAAGACTTACGTAGCGAGGAGGAGAGTGTGCTCTTTCATCTTGTCGTCTATAACTATCGTCATGATATCGCGGACGAACATAATTGAAAAGTGAGGAGCCCGGCAGAGCTGAAATCACAGTTATAGATTCCAAGAGGTAGATAACAAGGGTTACGGTTTTGCTTGGCAACTTCCCTACCAGAGCAAAGCAATGATTAGTAGTCCACTTTGCGACATCGGGCATGAAAGGGAAGAGCTATTTGTTACGGTCAAAGTAACGGAATCAGAGCCACGAATTTCGGGGAAGCGTTCTTAGAATTCACCTCGAGAATACTGAGCTATGAACAAAGATCTTGACCCCATACCGGACTCCAACTCCCATCTCACGCCTTTGGAAGAATGCGCTATCCGTTACGCTACAGGACCGTTCTTGCCCTCTCATGCTCAGCTCAAATGGCCATGGCACAAAAAGTACGGGTTCGAGTCCCGCCTGCGATCGAGCTTTTGCCCTTACCAGCATCTTTGGGATAACTTTTAGCGCGCGAGCGGCCGCGTTAAACAACGATATCATAAAAAAAGTAACGTCGAAGATTACAAGAGTTGTTCCGTTAACAAGAACGTAAAAGTTTGTAGATCGTGACCAAATTCTCTTTGCTCTGGCCTGCCGAACGAAGAAAAGCGGACCTACACCACGACCTACGCGGTTGCTGAGCTTACACGAAGTGGAAGAGAAATGAGTACCATCAGTATAAATAAAAAGTACCGGCATGATGAGAGTAGAATGGATCCGTTCCTATGGGAGAGTATCGGCCCTGTGATGTGGGGGAAAGCGGTAGATCTGAAAATTAATATTTGATCGAGAGCACAATTTCATACATGTTCGAATATTAGTACAAAGGGAGACAATATGTAGAAAGGCTGCCAAAATCAAGTACACTCTAGTTCGCTGCGGACGGTTGGGCGTGTCAGCCAGTATGAGTGTGCACAGCGTCAAGGCCGTTCTCTGCCTTCTTGTTGAAGCGCGCATGCGACAAAAAGTGGTAGAAAACGAGTAATACGACGATATGATACAGTCATATCATTTGTTCGCTTTAAAAACTGGTGGAGAACGGGTTTGGCACCGCGCCAAACGCAGCCGCACTGACACGCCCAACCGTCCGCAGAGAACTACACTATACAGACTGGCAATCATACCACCCAAGCAGCCGCGCCTAATCCTTCCCCTAACAAAAGATCGAGAGGTCGCAGTAATGGTCCAAGAACTTCTCCTAAACAGTTTGCAAAATCGTAGCCAGTCGGAGACGGCGTGAGAAGGGATGGGATGGCCCAGCCTCCGGCTGCCTTGCTCTATTAATAGTGATCGGGTAGTGATCGATTTAAGAAGAGAAGGTCCAGTGGTGGAAGCGCTGCAGGCGGGGCCCGCCGATTGCGACTCGACTCATTGCAGTAATAATAACTGTTCGTCTTCGATGAAGACGATCCAGTCGAACCGTCTTAGTAAGGTATTTCATCTGAAAACCTCGTCAGCACATTAGAAAACATCGGTCGTAAGGTTTTGTAGGGGAAAAAATAGTTCCGGTCGTACGTTCGACAACGGAATGTAAATTGCTATGATTTCTCCGAGTCGAGTTGTTAAGCAAGTTCTAAACTGCGACTGGAGATCGCAAACACTGTGCTTTTTGCTGGAGACTTCCTGAAGTCAGCGCGGATTTCGTAACCAATTCTTCCGGTTTTAATGATTGCAGGGCGGGCGAAACTTCGCTTTGACCGCTCCCCAACTCTTCACTCGAGCGCGACAAAAAGTGAAAGCAGATTCGATATGTATCTGGCTCATTTCGCGTTGCGACGAGATCGCCGATGTTCTGTCGGAGCGGGAGACGATTCTTCCAGTGGATAAGTGTTTATTTCTTGTCGTGAGTTCACCGATTCGTCAGGGCCGTGGGCTGTGAACAATGCCTCAGTAGTCAGCGAGCAACCAATTAGGCAGCGTTCAGGCTTCGCGACGACGCGCGTCGACGCGCGTTACAGAGCGTCGTCAACAACGCTCGTCGTCATTGCAACAGCGCTCGAACGCGGGAACGCAGCCACAGACGGTATTGATCGGCGTCAACCGCTACTGCTCGAGAGAGTATAGGAGCACAGGAGGATGCATTTCTTCAAATCACACTGTTTACTATCGATTGACGCCGGCCGCTAGAGTTTTGGGAGAGTATAGAGAGTATAGCAAAAGAGTACCGGACTTTGTGTTTAAACAAGGCGTACCTTCCTATTCTCGCATA